AGAGGAGCCTCGGCCTCCATCTTCTACCCAGCGATTGCAACATTTGGCGTCTTTCTTGGCTTGACTGGTAGATCGCAGGAGAGAAAATTAATTTTAATTATAGGAAAAATAGAAATAATGTAGTAAATGGGCCAACATGATGTCTGTGCAAGGAAGATATGGCCCCATCGAAAAGCGCATTCGATTCGATCTTTAAATGTGGGCTGCGTGCGGCAAAAGGTCGGTGAGCGATTGCGCTCTCAATTGGGAGGATTGCGGGTTCTTAATATAAAATTATAAATAATAAAAAATAGATTATAAATAGTAATCTCCTATTACAATTGGTTGTCAAAAAATCATCTTACAGTAGATTTACTCTGTTTCTAAGTGAGAAGATATTGATATCCCTATAGGTTTTCCAATCAAATTATAAAAATTAATATATAATAAAAATAATTATGTGTGAAAATGTTTTCCAATCAAGTTTTCGGATCGAATTAATAATAATAATAATAATAATAATAATAATAATAATAATAATAATAATAACCGTTGTGTGGCGAACGAAGGGAGCGGATATCCAACAGCATCATCACGGAAACGAGATAAGGCAAAGCGGCTCCTCCTCCTCCTATTGAAGATATCGTTTCCCCAACCACGGTCAGTTCCAACACACCGAGAGCACGGTCGCTGCTACCTCCTCTTCCTCCAAGAGCTTGAGAGAGGGAAATGGCCTCTTTGCCGCAGGTTCCTGCAGCCCGTCGGGCGCCGTTCTTGAACTCTTCCTCTTTTACTTCATCCCACAAGGTACTCTTCCTTTCCCTCCGTGCCTTTCTTACGGTGTTGCAGGAACAGTGTCACCGACGTTTGTGTGGGTTGCTTTGCTTGTGCGCTAGTTTTTGTCGCAGGGCCGTGCGTTGTTCCCTTGCTGCTACAGCAGAAGAAGGCCTGCCTTTCAGGTTAAAGCTGAGGCTTCTCCAATTTCCCAACAAGGTAAGCTGATGACCTCATCGCCTTGCTCTGGCTTGTGGTGTTGCCGTAGGAACTCTAGGTTTGAACTGTCGCGATAGGAAGAATGGCTGGGTTCATCAAGATACTGCTCAAATTGATCGAGCTAATTCAGCGAGGAATTAGATCCTTATTATATTATTATCATAGAATAATAGCTGTACCTAATTTTGATGCAGAGCAAAAATTGATCATCTAGATTGTAGACTTGCACAGAAGCAAATGTTAGGTGTTTGGTGAACCATGTCAAGAATTGGTAAAATTTTACTGAAATCTTGTTTCATGGCTCAGAATGAGATGCTTAGGTTGCTGGTGTTTGAGACATATGGCTTCATGCATCTAGTAACTTGATAGTTGTCATATTCTCACTCAAAGCTGTAAAATAGTAGAAACTCGCAAGTAGACAATTTGCTGCATTAAAGCCTTTACTTTTGCAATTGCTATTCATCTTCCATCAGAACTTCAAAATGGAGTTAGGTTTTGCTAGCTGCATTGACCGTAATCTCTCTGTTTTTGCAGAGGGATCTGGGAGGCGCCAATCACTAGTCCTAGGAGCAATTACCTTTTTTGGCTCTCTATCTCATGCTAATTCCGCATCGTGTAAGTGTTGCTCCAAACACTTGTCATGATTCCTTGAAGGGGAATGTGTCTTGCATCCGCTTAAGAAGAATTGGAAGTACCACTGTGTACTGCCTGCTAATTTGCGCAATTTGTTAATTCATAGAATTGTGATGGATTTCTGAAAAGAACCCTGATATGGCTCAGTTGCAGCAGAGGCTAAGAAAGGATTTCAAGCTGTCTTAGATAAGAAGGATGGTTACACATTCCTCTACCCATTTGGATGGCAGGTGAACATTTTTCTCCTTGCTTATCATCCCCAGAAAAAAAATCAGGCATCATTATAAATTATTCATGCTGGTTACATACTTCAAATATCTTATAGATCTTTTTGATCCAGGAAGTCGTAGTCCAGGGGCAAGATAAGGTTTTCAAAGATGTGATTGAGCCCTTGGAAAGTGTTAGTGTCAACATGGTTGCAACTGGTAAGCAAGATGTCAGGGACCTCGGACCGCCGCAACAGGTTAGCTTTTATTTTTGTTCCTGAAAACAAGTTTTGGTTGTCACCATATGCTGAGTTAGTTGAAATCCCAGGTTGCTGAAGCTTTAGTTAAGAAGGTTTTATCTCCTACTTCACAAAAAACGAAGTTGGTTGAAGCAGCCGAGGTTTGTTCCTCGTACCTTCATTTAACTGATACAGTAGATATAATATAATAAAAACATTATGCAAATTACTAAAAAACTAATCATATTTCCTCATATAATTAGAATTTGAATTGTATACTACTATGACATAGAGAGTATATATGACTTACAGTGTGAGTTTCTAGTTAGAGATGGCACTTGATCTTTTGTCATCTAGCTATCTGAAATTATGCTTACATGATTTAGTGTTTGTATAGTTCTTTTGAAGATAATCTGCGAATGGACTGTCTGATGAAATTTTCCTGGTTTTCAAGGAGTCAAGGTATAAGTTACAACTAATATATCAATCTTGTCTGACACTTATCTCAAGAGAATAACTTTCAATGCATGAGTTAAGTGTCGGCATTAATAGAGAACCCACAGATTTTACCAAGAACTTGGAAGTTTATGTGAAGAACTTGTAAAAAGCTGCTATTTCTCCTATACTTGAGCAATAACTTTTTTCCTTGCCTCTCCAAGCATTAGCATGCCTCGTATACTTTTACCTAAGGATGTTGGTATAAAACCTCCTTACTTGCTTTGCTAAGCTTAAGCCTTCCCAACTATTTTTCAGAATCCCATACACATATGCGTTCCCTATGAAATTAGGGGATGACATACAGATGATAATCGGGTGCAATTTCATCCGTGCTATGCAAGGAGTCAGAATTGAAGGAAATACGGTAACCTTCTAGAAGAACCTGACCACTATTAACACCCTCCCATATGTTCCAGTTACAGCTGCAATAGAAGAACTGGAACTAGAAGAAGAAGACTACATCCAAATTCAGGAGCTGGTTCTATACTCAGCCGAACCTCAAAAGGATGAAGACAAACTCAGAGCACAGTTTGGAAGCCTGATCGAAAAATTAAAGGCCCAAGGGTACATTGGTGAAAATCCTCTTCAAGACTGGAAGAAAAACGGGTTGATGTGTGAACTGGAAATCAAAAACCCAAACCTTACAATAGAGGACAAGCCATTAAAGCACCTCACGCCTCAGGCCAGAGAATCCTTCTCTAAACACGTCAAAGCACTTCTGGACATTGGCGTGATCAGACCAAGCAAAAGCAGGCACAGGACAACAGCAATCATAGTCAACTCTGGCACAACAGTAGACCCAGTCACTGGCCAGGAAAGAAGGGGAAAGGAAAGAATGGTCTTTAACTACAGAAGACTAAATGACCTCACTGAAAAAGACCAGTACAGCCTACCAGGGATAAACACCATACTAAGAAAGGTCAGCAACAGCAAGATATACTCCAAGTTTGACCTAAAGTTGAGGAAAAGCATTATTTCCAACTAAAGCAATCTCAATTTTTAGGCAAAAAGAGTTTCAATAACTATCCCATCTTCTATTCGAGGCAAAGACTATCAAAGACCTTTCTTAACTCAAGTATGAAGCATTTTTCAACTTGAGGTGGATAACCTTCCTAACTCGAGGCATAAATTCAAATTCTATCATAACTCGTGGCAAAAATTTTTTGTGTTGAAGCAAAAGCCTTATGAGGCACCTTCGGATGAAATCATGAAAAAGATGATTCATCCATATTATTAGACAGCCCTGATTAGTAGCCAAAGCCTTAAGGTTGGATTCATAATTATGGCAACTTTCTTGACTCCCAAATGCAAGGCAGTGACCACTTTAGTAGCTACTAGTATGAAATGAAAATGGTTAGATTAAAATGAAATAGCATAGTTCATGTAGTTGCAGCTGGAATGTATATTTGAATTTTTAATTCTTCTTCCATAACGTGAGCTTGATGAAGAGATAAGAGGCCTCGATGGTGAATGTGGTTAGAAATCCAAAATAGTGACCAACCAAAATGACTCAATTTATTGTCTTCACACAGAAGGATGATAGAATACTTGGAAAATATTTCAAAATCATCACAAACCCACTTTTTCTTTTCTATTGCAATTTCTATATTATTATATGATTATTTTTTATCTTTTTGTTCCTTATGACTTAATGCACCTCTTGTAGAAAAGACTTGAGAAACGCAAAATTCTGTAGGTGCACAGAAAAAGTAAGTCACCTCAGATTAGTTTTGCCAGGTGTGACAATGGAGTCCTAAGAAAACTTCACTAAGAGGAAGAGCAGGATTGATGTTCATATCGCAAAATATGTGATTGACTGTGCATTTTGAGTGGATATTGGATTATGATTCTACTATATTGGTTACATTTGAATTATTGTATCAAAGAAGTTAAACAAACTTGTATTGCTTGACCCAGCGTGATGTTGATGGGAAAGTTTACTACACCTTCGAGTTTATTGCACAGGCTCCAAACTACACAAGGCATGCTCTCGGTGCAATTTCCATTGGAAATGGTATGAACTCTTACAGCTTGTAACCTCCTTAAACTGTAGGTCCTATAGAAAGTCTTTGTTGAGTTGTTTTCATTTACTTTTCTTTTGTATGCTTTGTTCATAAACCTACTACCTGTGCAATTATAGTTACCCTAGCTATTCCTGTTGCAATGCAGTCTGCTCATATTACAATTAATGTCATCAGAAACAAATTTATGTCATAGTGCTTCTGTATGAAACTGCCTGGAAATGGATCCTCGTAATCTGAGTAACAAGTAAAAACCCTGTATAGGTTAACGTTCAAAGAAATGATCTACATGTCATCTACAGCTGCACCTCACAAGTTCCTCACAACTTTGTTCATGGCAATAACCTCATCTTGGGTTAAGTCATAAAACGAAATGGTGTACTTTCCGTAGAAATTTTCTTTTCTTGAAGCAACTGCAACCAAAAGCCATTTTCAGGAATTTATGCATTATTCAGTTTTCAGCATCTGAAATGCATGACTGGAAACAATTTAGTAATTTAAATGTTGTTGAAAAATGGTTGTGGTACAATATTCCATTTTGCTCTCAGATGTGCCATCACAGTAGGATGGAGATTGACCTTTTAAGCAAGATTAGTATCATTGTTAACCACTAAATTATCGGGCTGCTAAGCCTCTATAGGATGAGAGTTTGTTAATATGTAAATGGGTATGCTCGTATAAAGATGGGGTTCCTTAGAACCTTGCTAACTACGTATGAGGTTCGTTTTTTGGCATTCTTGGCAGGTAAATTTTACACTTTGACAACAGGAGCCAACGAAAGGAGATGGGGGAAGATGAAGGACAAGCTGCATGAAGTCGTAGACTCCTTTAAGATCTTTGACGTTTGAGGCCACGGCCAATAGAAATTTTTCTCTACTTTTTGATGTTTACTTTCTCCATTAGCCCATTTGTGCAATTTCTTCTGCTGATCTTATTGTTACATGCCAAGTGAGATGAAACTATTGACTTGCAAACCTGTGACTTCCATTTACTCCATTCTTTCCACCATCTTCTTTGGCATCATCTATCAGATCAAAGATTCGAGGTCCGAAATAGCATATTACATGGTAATGAGCCTACACCTGTATCTTAGCTCAAGAAGTGGCAGTGCTTTGATCCATGAGGTTTAGCAACCAGAATCTGCATCTATGGTTGCACGGTTAAGCGCATCGAAGACTGAACTTCCAGGTATGACCATAACAAATAACAGTATTAAGATGTGAGCTACAAAGTAGATCCTCATCACTTTGCAGTATACTATAGGAGATAGCAGAAGCTGCAAAGCCAGATTCGCAATCTGAAGATTGACAGCTTACTCCTTTTCAGGCTGCAAAGTTTCCTACTAAAGTTCTCAATATAGGAGAACGAAAAAGTGGCAAATGAGCTGCAGGTTGAAGTAGATCACTCAAGCGACTTCAAGCTGAAGCGCAGAGAGAGAGAGCTGGCAAAAGTATATGTGCATCTTGAATTGTCTTCATCTAAAAGCATTGATGCTCATCTCTGCAAGTACTTTTCAAGTAGGACTAGGATACAATTAACCTCCTTCCTATTGGGTGCCAAACCTAAAAAGCAACCCTTAATTGCATGCATGAATACAGAGATGACTTCATTAAATGGATGACAGGTAGCTCTCCCTGGTGGTTTTAATACCAGCAAAGGAGCTGCATGGTTATGCCAGTAGCTCATTTATGGTGACGATATGGTCACTTGATTTTGTCTGCATGATGTGATTGACCATTCGAAATCACACTCGGATCAGTTTTTTGATGACTGTTGTATCTTGTTCCATTATCTGGTGATAGCTCAGACAATAATAGTTTTGCTTGACAATAGGTTTAAAAGACATGATAATGGAGTTGCTGTCGGGATATTTGAAGAGTTCGCAAGGCCCATTGGTTTCTGCCCAAGGAAGCCATCGATGTTTGCTGATGAATTGTTATTGCTATGGGATGGTAATGTAGACAGACAATGTCTCTGTTATCCATGGAATGTGGAGAAGAAGATGAATTATCATTTGCTTAATTACACAGGTTTTACGCCTGTTAGGGAACGAAATGAGACAGATGTACTCAAAATCTTATTGCATGGGTTTAGTGGGTTCATAACCATGAACTCCAAAGAATAGGATCAGACCACCTACAGATAGCTGTTGAATCTGGTCAAATCAGCTGAAATCTTTGACTTTGAGATCGGGAATGACAGAGAGGTGTTTTCCTGGTATTATAGCTGGTTTCCGGTAGGGGGCTCTATCATCAATAGAGGCCCCTATTGCTTGCTGATATCACTGAAGCAAGAAGTAGTTGATGTGGTTGGGAAGAGACAAAAGCAGATGCAGAATCACAGAGAGATAACTCCGTTCTTTTACCAAGGAAAACTTAGTAAAAGAGCAGTCTGGGAGTCAATAAAGGAGCCTTTTTGCCTGGTGGCATAAGAGAGAATCCCAGCTTTCTCCTCCTCCGTCTTCTGGTTGGCTAGCAGCTACTGCTCAGCTTTTGGGATCCTACAAGTTTCACCGTGTTGTTTCCACAGGCAAAGCAATCAATAGATGCGGCGTTTGTATTCCATCGTCCTACTGCGACACAAGGCATTCTGGAGCAGATCTATGGAGTTAATGCCGCTTGGAAAACTGCATTAGCTGCTGCCATCTACTGCGTAAAAGAAGAGCTAAACTGAATGCTGGAATGACATCTACTACTGATAATAAGACATACTATCAGAATCGGATTGAGTGTTCTGAAAATAATGATACGACGCATGATTCTGGAAATCATTCGAGTTATTTCACTGCGCTGGGTCAGATCACCCATTGGAGAGCTGAGAGTACTGGCTAGTGATGTAGCAACGAGTCTACCAAGTTCAAGGTGGCTTTCATTTCTTGTCACCTGCCAGCTTTAACAGACGTAAGAATGTATGATACGTTTTTAGACAAGATCTTGACACCGGTGATTGATTTGTAGCCACAGCAGAAGCATGCAGTACTGCCATAATAAAAAAGTTGGATACAGTGTTACATAAATCCAGATCTCATCAGCACAGGAGTTTCCTATGGAGATAGAAAAGAAGGAACTATAACCATCACCGGTCACTCTAAAGCTGCTTCATTTTGCTCCCTCTGCATCTGTAACTTCTGTTTGCATCTTGCCGAAGCCAATACCAAGCACTCAGTTGCAGTTTTAGTGGCGCCAGAACCAAAGAATTCCGATGGTCTATCACACAGCCTGTGGCCCTAAATCTCTCTCTCTCTCTCTCTCTTTCAATCTATTCGATAGTAATTTACCTACGGCTACGGAAGGATGAAGGGGGTCGTATTTAGTGTCTTTATTGACTGGTCGGAACCATTAAAGGCTTGATATCTACAAGTCAGCCGAGTACTGTTGCAGGCCTGGCAGCTTTTACAAGCGAGAGACAGACAAGAGAAGAGAAATGAAATCAAAAGCAACAGAACAGGAGCAGTGAAGAAAGAGAATCCCTGTGACAGAAGTCCACCAATATATAAAGAAAATATGATAATGCATGCAGATTGACGTACTGACTGGCTACTGAGTCATACAACGAGATTCTCTTCTACATGGAGGGGAAAAGGGGTTCGATAGAGAGCCAAACATAGTTCCATACGACCAGTTAGAGATCGAGGGAGATTAGTTTGTTCCCCTCAGCTGGGGGATGCAGACCTAGACTTGGAGGTGGTGCACTCGTCCTTGAGGCCAGTGCTTTTTGTAGGGAAGAGATCAAGAGTCTTGAGAGGTTTGCAGCATGGAGGATTAGTGGAGTGAATGTCCATCTTCGCTAGCCATTCATGCCCATTCAATGTGCTGTTTGTCAACGCAGTTACTTGGTCACCTTTGGTCTCCAACTTGCACAACAAATCCAGCCCCTGGGTTGCATCCGCATCCTGCACTATGCACGGTATCAACATGGATGATAACAACAAGCAGCCTTCCTTCATACTATAATTAATGGGGCAATTACTTTTTATTGTAGAAGATGGTTTTAGATGCAGCAGTCGTAAGCACTGTATGACTACTACAGAATCGTTCTAAGCTTGGTAGAATCAATAATTGTATCCGACTTGATTAGCAAACCAAGAGAATCTGGTAAGGAGAGGAAACCTGATGAGGGAAATGAGAGGTGGGGATATGATGGTGCAGAAGAGGAGCGTCCTGGAAGCAGTGCAACTGGCGACGAGGGAATAGCGCAAGTGGATAGCCTGAGCAAAGAAGGTGGTGGTGGATGCTAAGCCTCCTGCGGAGCTTCTGCCTTTCTCTAGCTTTATGGTTTTGGAACCAGTAGAACACATTCTTCCCCTCTATCCTGCCGTAGCGTGAGAGATGAGCTGTTATCTGCTGTATCTGAGAAGCATCTGGGGTGCGAACTCCACTTCTGTACAACTCCTCTAGTATCATCAGCTGCTCCGGCGTCGGACACCACCTTGTGGAAGGAGCTTGAGGCATCTCAGACTCGGCTTTGTCTCCTTTCTGGTGTCTTTGCACTAGTTAGAGTCTGGAAATATATATAGAGAGAGAGATGACGAATTGGAGTGGAGACAAGAGAGACAAAAGGGATGTGTGGACAACTGCAACATGGGGCCTAAGATAAAAGGTCGGGGAATTGCAAAGGAAGGAGGTAATAAGTACTGTCATGCTGATGTTTCTTTCTGATCACTGGCATTCAGCGGGGGATTCAATGGTGTTGCGACTTCTCTTTCTTTCCCTTCGTTTTTACTCCTTTTGCTTTAACTCGTTGCAGCTTCTTTTCAGGCTTTCGATCGAGCGAGAGAGAGAGAGAGAGAGAGAAAGGAATTATGGTTCATTACAGATCTGTTGCATAGGTGGATGGCCATCGAAGAGAGGGAATGACACGCAGCTTCTCACTTGCCTTTCTGTCTTCCCTTTTTGTGTGGGCTTAAATTATAAGGTGATGATGAGCAGTCCAACCATTGAAGTGCATGCACAGAATCTTCCTTGCATCAGATGCTATCCCTGTCGCTCCCTATGGCAAACCGTATGTAAATCTCCACCAATTGCTTAGCAAATCCAAAGAAATGCATGCATGAATGGAATGCAACTAAGAATGATGTCCTTAACCAAATAGAGTAATGAGAGCTTATTTGTTGAACTCATCTTCGACAGGTTCTCTTTGCGGCAGTCAACGGAGGAGGCCAGAATTGGACCAGTTAAGATCCAGGCAACAAAAATTACAACACTCAGTAGCAATCAAAACTCTCAATACTGCTAATTATCCGGAATTCTAATTCTATCAATAAGATGAAAATATACATTTCAAACTATAGTTTGAACTAAGATCATTAAATCATAATATAGTTCGATGAGCTAAAAAAATATAGCTTTTCTGTCACTCTATAACTCGACTCTACAAACCGAGGATAGCTATCATTTTGCTAAACATTATACTACTTAGATTACCATCAAAATGATTCTTAAAGGGTCTCAGTGACATGATACATGATCAATAATAGAAAATTAATAATCATAATAATCTTCTGTTAAATCTTTCATCACTATTTCATCAAATAAAGTAAAATTAATCTTATATTATCGACTCAAAAATAATAATAATCAGTATCTTACAGACCATTGCAAACGTTAGAAATATTATTGTTCACATGCAAAAGTATCAGATCGTCATGCAAATTAAATCGATGGGATCTAACGTCAAGACATACAAACACAGACTTAGTGTTTCCTGAGGAAAACAATATACTTGTATTCTTGGACATATGCAAGTACAAGGCATCCTTTTAAGGATCGTAGTGGCTTATGATGGTGATATTGATTTCATGTCTGAAAAGATCACCCAGAGGTCGCTGCAGGTCTCATAATAAACCCTTTCGTCAACGTAGTCGCGTGTGTTATTTGTCTGTTGTTTTAACGTGCCTTTAAAACCTCGATCGGGTCCTATCTGAATTCAGCATTAAAACACTATGAATCACTTGCATGAACAACTCATATGCACATATGACTACAGGCAGCAGAG